GGAATATAAAGTTTAATGCAGTAAATGGAAAGACTTTCTAACAATTATTGTTATTCAGTAATTGAACAGGGTGTATCATGAAGTAGTGAGTGGCCCATAGTTGGAAGGCTTCAAGCAGGAGGAGAGTGACCATCTACCAGAAATGTTATAGAAGTGACTGCTACATTGGGTGGGAGTTTGTGCTAAACTGCCTCTTAGATTCCTTTCCAAGTCTATGATTCTAAATTATTGAGGAGAGCATAAATAAAAGATCCAAACCCATTCAAGAACTAAATTATTCAACAAAAGGTAATAGAACTTTCAGCTATGAAGTTGAATCAACCAGACTTTGGGTGGCAGCAATCCTATTTTATAAAGAAAATAGATATCAGATCTATTAAAACAATTTGTTTTTAATTTTCAAAGGAAACACATTGCCTGGAATCATGTTGTTAAAGAAATCCTTTTAAACATTTGTCTTCCAAATTTGATCTACATGTTCATACAATTTCACATGTATAAGATATAATCCCTAAAGTGAGCAAAGCTGTCATATATTACTTTTTCCTGCCTAGACCCAAGAAACAGGATAAATAAGTAGCTCTGCTGCTTTCATTCTGTACCTTCTACTTAACATTATCTTAAAAATGATTATCATGTTAATTCAAAATTAAGATCTGGAAAACTATTCCCCCTGATTAACTGAAATTTTGTACCTTTTAACCAATCTTCCCCCATATCCCAACCCACACCTTTTTGAATTACTTCCTAGGTCTGAGGTTAGTGAGCCAAAGGGCATGGATGTCTTTACAGTGCAGAATAATGTCCTGCCAAAAGAATGTTATCAATTTGCAGAACTACTAGCGATGGCTGAGTTTAACTGTTTCCCTATTGTACACAGTAGGGTTTATTCAACATTTTAAAAATTGCTATAATTGTTTACATTTCCATTTTTAACTACTAGTGAGTTTGAATAGCCTTTTCAATGCTTTATTTTTTTAATGAATAAAACTCTTAATCTACATTCTTACTGTAAGGAGAGAACTCAGAAGTGCATCAAATGCAAAGAAGTCACACTGAGAAGAAATAAAACAGGGGATGAAAGTTAATTCTAGAATGATGGGGAAATTTCTCCTTCTCCCAATCAGAACTCTCTGGAAAAGCTGTAGAACCAATGTTTCTTGGTTTAGCATCTCCCTGACACTGAACAAACCCTAAAGGAGGTGGGGTTTCTTCAATAAGTATCTTTGCTTTTAAATTCACATATATTGCACAGAAAACACGTGTCAGTTTTCTGTCACTATGATAAAATACCTGAGATAGACAACTTGTAAAGAGAAAAGTAGTTTTTTTGTTGTTGTTATTGTTATTGTTCATTTGTTTTTCAGTTTGGCTCTTTCTATTGTTTTTGGACCTGCAGTGAGGCAGAACACAATGGCAGGAGTACATGGTAGAGCACAGCTGTGTACCTCATGGCAGCCAAGAAGCAGAGAGAAAAAAGAAGGGCCATGATTCCCAAATCCCCTTTAATGGCATGCCCTCATTACCTAACTTTCTTCTACCAGGCCACTAGGTTCTGAACACCACCCCTCCGAACACCACAGTCTGGCAACCAAATCTTAAACACATAGGTCTTTAAGGGACACCACAAATCCAAACTATAAAGTACAATAGAGATTACTGAAATTTTGGTTAAGATTTCAAACATTTCAAAAATAATTCCCTTTTCTAAAGGTTCTGCTAAATAGGAAAATTATATGAGAAGCAAAAATTTAGGAAACTTATAATAAAATAACATCCTCGTATACTAAAAGTCCAACTGAAAAAAAAAAAACAAAGTTTAGGTTGAGATAATTGTCCTTTTCCTAAGATTACATATTATTGGGTGAGTATAGTTCACTCTGATCTGTTCATTTTTCCCTCTGGAAAGAGATACAAATGAAGTAATAGTAGGAGAACATTAAAAATAAGATGCAAACATAAAAGTGAGGAATTAAAAGTTCTTGCTCTCACAGCAACTGCCACAAAGCCACATGTATATGAGACAGGCTTGTCCTTAGACATGAATCCTTTTTCTTGCAACTTATTAATTCCTGAGCAGAGGTAAATACAAAATAAAATCAAAACTGAACAACATACAATATGAAACCAACATGCTATAGTTGCCTAGGTAATAGCAATCTTAAACTTCACATGGAAACTGGCTGATAGCTTTGTATATGTTATTCACCTCACAGAGCCAGCAAAAATGTTCCACTCCTCTCACAAGATGTGCTCGAAGGTGTAAGATCTGGAATGTAATGTGAATAATGTTTTTTGTTTAAAATGCTATTATTAGAGTTGTTTTCTAGATCTCCAGGAAAAAAAAAAATTCTGGGAACAAAAGAATGCCTGTTCCAAAAGAAACATAACCTAGACATGAGCCTAGTGCCTAGTAATGTTCAATAAACACCTGCTGAAACATTGAATGAACACATTTGTCAATCAATCAAGAAGTCTGAATTGACAAAACACCAGGTAGTATATTCTACATGACTTTTGTCAAATTCTTCCCCTACTCTAAAAGCTAAGCAGCGGATTGTACCCCGGGCCTTGTGCATGCAAGGCAAGCACTCTACCAACTGAGCTATATTCCCAACCCTGTATTGATCTTTTAACTTGCCTGTCTCTATATATTCTGTGACTTCTGAGTCCCCCATGTTTAACTTTCTGTTCATTCTTCAGAAGACATAACTTTTTGACTTACCAATTTTATTAGCTAGATTTTTGTTGCTATGCCAAATAACTAAGAGAAACAACTTAAAGGAGTAAATATTTATTTTTACTCAGTTTCAGAGGTTTCAGTCAATGGTCAGCCAGCTCCATTGCTTTGGCCTGAGGTAACATCACAGAAGGGCATGGCAGAAGAAAGCTACTCACTTCAGGATAGCTGGAAGACGGGAGCGGGGAGAGCAAGAAGAACAGGCTAGGGATAAAAGATGCCCTTCCCGGGCATACCTCCAGTGATCTACTTCCTCCAACTAGGCCTTACCACCTAAAGTTTCTACCATCTCCCACTAATGTCATCAAATAATTAATCCATCAATGGATTAATGAAGTAAGAGCCTTCATGATCCAATCACTTCCCAAAAGTTTCATCTCTGAACATTACTGTGTTGGGGATCAAGCCTTCAACACACGAACCTTTGGGTAACACTCTGGTTCCAAACCATAAGACCAAGTTAAGGGATATAAGCAAAAGAGGGAGAGCTTCAAAGTGTGCCTTAAGTTCACGGGGTTGACAGTAAAGGGTTGATGTTCTTTGCATCAATATGTGTGTGTGTGTGTGTGTGTGTGTGTGTGTGTATATATCTTCTCAAAGTTTTATTTTTTAAAAATAAGGTCACTTTTTAATAAGAGACAATAGTAAACCTAAATTTTAAAAAATAAAAATGTTGCTATTAGAGGAAAGGTATGAGGCCTATCAGGGATGTTTCTGAGTTCTCTTGGTGACATTTGTTTTTGTTTTATATATATATTTATATATATATGTATATATAAATAAAATAATTATAAATAATTTAACTATAAAAATTAAATATATATTTATATATAATATATATGTATTATATATATTTATATTATATTAAATACCATCCTCCAGGGTTTTAAAGGCTTTTAATAAAGAAATTAATCTAGACTCATTTTCTTCCTAATTTGTGATATTCAAAAGCATACATTCTAGGCCAGCAAAAATGTTCCACTCCTCTCACAAGATGTGCTCGAAGGTAAGATCTTGAATGTAATGTGAATAATGTTTTTTGTTTAAAATGCTATTATTAGAGTTGTTTTCTAGATCTCCAGGAAAAAAACAAAAATTCTGGGAACAAAAGAATGCCTGTTCCAAAAGAAACATAACCTAGATATGAGCCTAGTGCCTAGTAATGTTCAATAAATACCTGCTGAAACGTTGAATGAACACATTTGTATGTGTAATGAAAACTAAGAGGATTTGTGACAGAGATTAGGTGTGAGAAACTATGCACAAGAGATCATGTGTGTATGAACCATGTGTTAGTTGTGTGTGTGAGAGAAAGTCTGAGGGAATCACTACCAAAAATAGAAAACAGGTCTAACAGATACATGCAAAAAACTGGCATTTATTTAAATGCCCCTCAATTTCCCTTTAACAAAATGGGTGGGGTAGTAAGAGAAATAATTATAAATTGGATATGTCCCCTATTACCCACTGAGACATATTCTTATCCATTTATAGAAATATAGATATACCATCACTAGATACATCAAATGATCTCAAGTCTCCACCAAAGACCACATACTAGGGAGCACTCAATACAGAGAAAAAGACACAGCCCTTTAAAGAGATACTAGGACAGAAGGCAAAAGAAAAGAAAGCCACAGAAATGTGTATTCCTTGCAAAGGTTGGACAGCTGTCCTTAACAGGCAGCCAGCAGCATAACCAGCATATCCAGTGCCAGGCAAGAACAGAGGGTCCCTCCTGGAGAGTGTAAATGGGTGTACGTGTATGGCTCTCACACTCACAATACTGCCTCCCTCACCCACAAAAGCACTCTCTTACATCACACATTGTCTTTTTCACACACATAGCTCCCTTCACACATAAGTCTCTCAGTTTCTCCCTCATGCCCACAATTATCTATTTCACATACACATACACACACACACACACACACACAAAGGCACACACACTCACAAATTTCTCTCATACACTCCTTCATATCACTATAGTCACGCAATTCAAATCCTCTCATAGACATAGATACACACACACAAACACACGCACGCACACGCGTGCCTTGGTCCCGCCCCCGCCTTGGCCCCGCCCCGGAGGGCTCCTCCCGGCGGCGGGGCGGGGCGAGTCTGTGACAGGAGGAGCCGGGCTGCTACTGTACTTTGGGCGCCCAGGCCGGCAGACGCGCTTCTCAGTCCCCTGTCATCCGCCAGCGCTGCCGACTAGGGCGACCCTGGGGCGGCGGCCACCGCCTCGTGCGACGCGGCGTGGCCTTCCAGCGGCCGTCCCGGGCGGCGGGAGTTGGCAGCGGGATGTGCTCGGCTGGGGAACTGCTGCGGGGCGGCGGCAGCGGGGATCGCGACGAGGACGGGGACGCTCTGGCGGAGCGGGCGGCGACTGGGACGGAGCGGGAGCCCGGAGCGAGCCCGCGGCGGCGCGGGCTGCAGCCCCCGGAGGAGAGCGAGCAGGTGAGCACCAAGAGGGCCAGCGCGGCCGGGCCCCGAGCTTCACCCGGCGGCGGAGGGAAGTGGCCCGGCAGGCGGGCGGCGCCTGGGCTCTCCCCGCGCGGGGCGCTGGGGGCCGCCGCGTCCTGGGAAGCCGCCGGAGGAGCGGTTGGACGGCGCGCGGGGCGGGGCTGCCGACTCGCGCGTGTGCGGCTGCAAGTGCCGGCCACCCGGCGCGTGTCTGGCGGGGCGGCTCGACCCTCCTGCTGCCGTCAGGCGGACAGTTGTCTGTCCGGCTCCCTGCGGAAATGCCCTCCAGAGCTACCACTTGCCTAAAAGCCCTACCTGTGAACACTCTTCAACTTGGAGTCCGTGCGCCTGAGCCTGGCTTAGGGGACAGCGGCTCCCCTCTTGCCCTCCATCTTGCATCTGAACACACACCTACCGTCTCGGCGAGGTGTGGGTGTATTTCTCGCCATAGGCCGTCAGTGTGTGAAGACGTGTAGGTGCGACTATTACAATAGATGTCTTAACAGGGACTCTCCCAGACCAAGTTCTGTATAAGAGCAGATGGAGATCTAAACTTCATTTAAAAAATAAAAAAGCAGCAAAATTGCTTTCACTGGGCACCAGAGAGGCCAGACATAAGGGAAAGGAGAACAAGCCTTCTGAGTTTGATCTCATTAAATAGAGTGTGATCAGGGACACACTCTATTTATCAAATACTCTATTTATCTAATATCAAATACCTTAGATGAGAAGTTTAATTTAAGAAACTGAATTACCTGTCGGAAGAATTTTCATGGGCAAATGCATTAATTAGATCTTAAGAAATATTTGAGATAAGCTGGTCTTCAGAATCACATTGAGAGGCAGGAATTCAATTGATTATTGACCTTTCCTGTATCCTGTACTGTTGGGTCAATTAATACCTGTCGCTTCTCATCCTTTTCCATCCGTCCTTTTTGTTACATTTCACAAACTCCAATACCATCACTAGATACATTAATAGGTATGTTACTTAGGAAAGAAATTGTATGTGGCACACAAAATAAGCCTTAGTAGGTTTGATCATCATGTGGATTGTAATTGTTCATGTGTGTGACAATATAGGAGATGGTGACTGAAGCAAATAATTGGTCGTAGGAGATCTTCCTGATTCCCTCCCTTCCTGGTAGTTTTCCCATTAACTGTAACATGCATGACTCAGTAGATAAAGGTCTTGGTTTCCTCTTACCTTAGTTGCTCAACTGGAAAGGTAAAGGAAACAGCTACAAGAACTTCCTTGGGAGTAGGGGTTCATTTGAGGAAGGTTTCCGAAGTACATTTTCAAATGACTTTTAAGTAATTATATAAAATAATTTACTTAAGCTTCTATGGACTTCATCAGTACAATGATGTGGACATCATCACTAACTCTGATTTTACCAATATTATTTATGGTTAAAAGAAAAAGGATGAAACAAACAACTAACAACAACAACAACAACAAAAAGAATGAAACATTTACACTAGAAAACAAATATTCCTTTGCATTCCTGCTTCCTTCATTGCATGTCATGAAATTGTTATTCTTATCATTTTTATCCCATGATTTATGTACCCTGAGCCTATATACAGAATAATTGAAAATATGCTTACTACATCAGCACCAAAGAAGAACTTTTTACTAATAAGCCAAAAACAAGCACCAAAAAAAAAAAAAAAAAAAAAAAAAGTGCAACCCAACCCATTGGTGTAAGAAGCAAGCTTTTGAGCTTTTTTGATAAATTATCACGAAGCCTTGTTTCCTAGCTTTTTTTCACATCCTACAAATGAAATTCAAAAATTTTATACACTGCCATGTAATGATGGAGATGATTTTACACACATTAAGATATTTGAGGAGAATTAAATGAAGTTCACAACTATAACACATCCCAAAAAGAAATTTTAGTTTTTCTTATTCATTTTATTTGTTTTGTTGACGTTTTAAAGACACAAGGATTCCAAATTATAAACATAATACTTTGAAAAGTTGGTTCCCAAGCTAATGATTTAGAACTTACACTGAACTTTTCCATAAAAGCAATGATATAAACAGAAACAGAACCAAAACTAATTAGCTGGAAATGAAGCAGAGGTCATCTTCCTGCTTGTTCTTTCTGCTTAGCATGCTCATGCTCACTTGGCGTTCCAGAGTCTTAGTATCTTTATGGATATTAAGAGGAAATTGAGCCTTCAGAGGCTCCTTATCTTGATCAATGCCTTGAAGGTGTGATCTTGAAGTCAGAAGCCCCAAAGGCACCTGACTTGTGCTCCTTCAGTCTTTGTCAGCACTTAATTTTCTGTGTTAAATCCCTTTCTGTTTCTGTTTCCTTCACAGAGTTTCCTCTCCTGATAATTTGATGAAGCAGGTTTCTTCCTTGGGCTTATTTCCCAGGCTAAAGACTTTTGCGTACATCCTTTTTCCTTCACTGATTTTCTTTCCATTCCTTTTTGAAAGACTCATTCCCCTCCCTCAACTGGGAAGTCTTGCATATGCTTTGACTATACAAAACCTACCTTTGGCTCATTGTTATTATAATACCAGTTCAAAAGTTATTGTATTTCGGAACTTATTTCATGTAATACTGAAATACTGGCATTTATATCCGTGATTTATTAATTACTAATAGATTGTCAGCCTTTTATAAATTGTCTTTAGCTGCTACTCTGTTTGAGAAAAAGCTAAGTAAGTTTTTCAGTTCTTCTGACCTGAATCTTAGAGGTAGGATGATTGACAAAGGAGATGTAGTGAAAATCAAGTATCCTAAGAAAGGAGGCTTTGAAGAAGGCTGTGAAGAAGAAACCTGTGTTAGGTTTAAAGTAGAGGTCAGACCTCTAAGAGAGAAGAAGGAGCAATTTCAGGAGATGTTGAGGAGACAGGACATATTCTGTAGGTGTGTTGATAATCATGTGCATGAGAGATAATCCAAGTATGTTCATGACAGTCAATGCCAGGGTGACTTTAGGCAAGAGACTCTGTGCCCTTCTGCATAGCTGGAATGTAAACACTACTGAGATTTTTATTATGTCTATAGCATCTGCTTAGATGTGGCACACAGTACAGTTCAAAACCTGAATAACCTAAGATGTCCACACTGACATAGAATATGGAACATCTCATTATTCCTAGATTAACTTTAGAATCATTAACTCTATTTTAGGGTCTTTATGATTATAAAAGTAATTGTACTTTGAAAAATCAAAAACAGAAGTATCTAAAGGAAAAAAGTATTTAAAATCCTATTCTGGGTAATATTTTGATATCAGATATTTAGTATTGCTATATCTGTGTTTGTATTTGCACATATTTTAATATAAGCACAATTTTATATCTTCTTTAATGAAGATGAATGCTACATGTTACAAAAATTATGTAAAAACTATTTTTAGGATTGCCTGATAGTATGTTCTCTTAAGCAGTGTACACTTCATATTATTTCTTTTATAAATAATTGTTTTGTGTATAAATAAAATATATAAAAATATTTACTTTTAAATCCTCACACCTCTACCTTGAAACAGATTCCTAGAAGAAAGAACTAAGTAAATAAAACACATTGAAGCCCCTTGAAACATCCTAAAGAATAGCATTTAAGAGTGCATAAGCTAATGTGCACTTCCAGCACTGATGCTTGAGAGTGCCATATTAGTAAGAAAAAATTCTTATTGTTGTAAGACATTACTAGAGAGGTTTGCTAAAACATGGCATATGTTTATTATGCATTTGTATTTCTTTTTAATCATGTTCTTTGACCATTTTTTCTTTTGCCATTATTACAAGGATATTAATATCTTACTTCACATTGATTATAAATATCTACATTGCTTGATATTTACTTTGTAATTTTATTGTGATTTTTTTAAATTTAGAAATGTTTCAAAAGAAGAAATGCTTTAAATTTTTGTTAGTCAAAGGTATTTCTTTTTTGGTAATTTCGCACATACACACGTACATATTATACATATGTACACCAATATATTTAAGTATTTTTGTTTAGAAATTCTAATACTATAATGAGTTAAATAGCCACCTATATTTTCTTTTATATGTGTACACTTGTGGGGTTTTTTGCTCTCTATATTTAATCTCTTTAGAATTATTTATGTATTGTATAAGGTATGGAGCTAATTTTTTTCTATCATTGAAAAATCCACATTTTCCCTTGCTTTATTATTCTTTATAATAATAATATGTGTGTGTATATATTTATATTTATAGTCATATACATTCATATATAGTAATATACATAAATGTATACATGTATATATGTGCGTCAATATATATACATGTATACATTTTATACACATATATATATACATGTATATATATATGTGTATACACATATATACATGTATACATTTTATGTATACCTACAGACTAAAGCCTATATAAGCTTTTTTTTAATTTTTGTTGTTATTATGACAAGGATTTATTTTCCACATGTTTATGTTTTCTTGCTGCAATGTATAGCTATTGGCATTTATGTATTTATTTTTTAACTTGCTACCTTTCTGAATTCTTTTATTAATTTTAACATTAATAAATACTAATAACTTTTAGACTTGATTCTTTTGCATCTTCTAGTTATATAAACATCTTGTCTATATGTAAGGATGTCTTTGCTTCCTTTCAAATGATACTGTCTTCATTTCTACTTCTTGCCTTTTGCTATGCCTGGAATTTTCCAAAGACCAATGCTGTTTCATAGATATCTAAGTAAATTAATGAAGAAACCTCTATAACAGCATTGAACAAAGTTTTCAATTAGATGACCTTTCAAAAAGGGAGAGGCAACCCCGTGTGTCCTTTTTATCTATCATTAGAAATATGACTATACTGATTCTACATCCAGAATATCTAGGTTTATACTTACCAACTTTAGATTAAAGTTAATAGCCTTCTTCATTTTTTTTTGTATGCACAAAGTATTAACTGTTGGACCTAATCTTTAAGCAGAACCATAACTGAAAAGAAATCTAACAAAGATTGTCTTTAA